GAGGGTGAAAGACGCTACACTGGAAAGTGGGAAAGCAATGAGAGAGGGTGTAGAGCCGGGGAAATGAGGGACGATCCCGTGGGGTAGACATCTAATCGCTTGGAACCGCGGAAACGAGGGACGTCAGCCCTGGCCCCAGGAAGTTTATCTCCCTCCTGGATAAGCCTATGGACGGGGATCCGAAGTTGCTGTGACTGTGGTGCATTGCGAAGGCCTCCATGATCTCTCGTCCGTATCTTGAGGCGTGACCTCCAATCCTGGTGGTCGAGGGAAGGTCGGCCGAACAGGGTTCGCTGCACTCAGAGGTGTGTTTGGCAATCGGGTGGTAACAAATCTCCGAAGTGTCGGAAGCGGCTTTCTTGATCTCGTTTGCATGTTCCCTCACCCGATCGTTTAGGCATCGGCCCGTCTGTCCGATGTATTTAGCACCGCAGGACATGGGAATCGAATACACGCACTCTTTGCAGCAGGTTACACAATTGGTCTGGTGCTTTTTCTGGCACGGGGGCGCTGGACCGGGGTTGTTGACCTTTCTACAAATAGAAGCTAATTTGAACTTGCAGGAAAATGCGACGTTGGTGTTGAAGCCGAGCGCAATAGATTTTAGGCGATGTGAGGTGTTGTGTATGTAGGGGATGCATGCGAAGCGTGACTTAGGAGGGAGGGGTTTGGACTTCTGCCCCGTGACAAGTCTTTTGATTGTTGTTTCAATCAGGTCTCTCGGGTATCCTGCCTTTATGAGGCGACTACTCTGCTTGGATAGGCTGGGGGCGGAAAGGTGCTGACAGGATTTAACCTTTGCCGAAGCAATTAGATTTCGAACGATCCCATTTTTTACATTCCTTGAGTGTGAGCTGTTGAAAGGAAGAACGGGCTTAGAAGACCTCTGCTGGTGAGCCCAGCAGATACCTTTGCTAGTTGGTACCAACTTGAGATCCAGGAACTGTAAGCCCTCAGGGGAGGGGGCCTCTTTGATGAACGTAAGCCCGTGTGAGTTCTTCTGGAACACGGTCTCTATGGCTGCAGAGTCGGAGATGGTGGAGTGTAGGATGAGATAATCGTCAACATAACGAAAAACCTTCGCATCGGGAAAATCTCATTGAAGGTCCGCCTGAACTTTGGCGTCAACATAAAACAGGTAAATTTCGATGAGGACGGGAGCCAAGCAAGACCCGATACAGACGCCGGCCCTTTGTATGTACACTTTACCCTCATATTCAAGCCCGACGATGAGAACGGGCGCAAGCCCGTTCTTCCTTTCAACAGCTCACACTCAAGGAATGTAAAAAATGGGATCGTTCGAAATCTAATTGCTTCGGCAAAGGTTAAATCCTGTCAGCACCTTTCCGCCCCCAGCCTATCCAAGCAGATTAGTCGCCTCATAAAGGCAGGGTACCCGAGAGACCTGATTGAAACAACAATCAAAAGACTTGTCGCGGGGCAGAAGTCCAAACCCTTCCCTCCTAAGTCACGCTTCGCATGGGGACTACATACACAACACCTCACATCGCCTAAAATCTATTGCGCTCGGCTTCAACACCAACGTCGTATTTTCCTGCAAGTTCAAATTAGCTTCTATTTGTAGAAAGGTCAACAACCCCGGTCCAGCGCCCCCGTGCCAGAAAAAGCACCAGACCAATTATGTAACCTGCTGCAAAGAGTGCGTGTATTCGATTCCCATGTCCTGCGGTGCTAAATACATCGGACAGACGGGCCGATGCCTAAACGATCGGGTGAGGGAACATGCAAACGAGATCAAGAAAGCCGCTTCGGAGATTTGTTACCACCCGATTGCCAAACACACCTCTGAGTGCAGCGAACCCTGTTCGGCCGACCTTCCCTCGACCACCAGGATTGGAGGTCACGCCTCAAGATACGGACGAGAGATCATGGAGGCCTTCGCAATGCACCACAGTCACAGCAACTTCGGATCCCTGTCCATAGGCTTATCCAGGAGGGAGATAAACTTCCTGGGGCCAGGGCTGACGTCCCTCGTTTCCGCGGTTCCAAGCGATTAGATGTCTACCCCATGGGATCGTCCCTCATTTCCCCGGCTCTACACCCTCTCTCATCGCTTTCCCACTTTCCAGTGTAGCGTCTTTCACCCTCCCCTCCTTCACCTATATATGCAAACTTCGGGTCAATAAATGTTGTTGCTAGTTGGAAGTCTTCGTTGTCCGTCCCCCCTTTCTATGTATCTTCCTCATGTCTAATGGGGAGTTGTATCTTCTTTCTCAATAAAATGATGCAACATATTTTTAATGGAAATGAATGCCGAAATAGAGTATAACAGGTTACCTAAATTTAAAAAAAATCGAGGGTGGTGTTTTTTTTTTTTATTCGCATCGGAATTTTTCTTTGTTTGATTTTTTTTCCATGTTTGACTAAATATATCCTAACTATTGTATCACACAGATACCTGAGTTATTTTTTAAATATTATCTATATATTAGTAGAATAATATCCGCAAATTATATCACAATGATTAAATTATTTCATGAGATACAGACCTCCAAAGTTTGCCATTTGTCGTTCGAGCAGGCATGTTTGTCAATTTTTGGAAAAATAAATAAATTTTAAATAAATATGATTACTTTATATTACAAGCAAGCTATACCCATAGTTTGCGCCTAAAACGTATTAGAGTTCTCCTAATGTTATCGCTTTAGTTATTCACTCTCAAACGGGCCCCCTCCATCAGTGCGCGTTAATGCAACTGTCCACCACCTCATGCCTTACGATTTTTCCTGTCCCCAAGTATTTTTTCTAGTCAAAACTAAGTTTGGATTCGTTCATACCAGACACTAGACAATAACATATAAAAACATCAGTTGATTTGAAAATGTCGACTAGCCATCCTTTGGTCGATCTTATCTGAAATCACCCTACAATTAAATCTTTGCGATTATAGCAAGCTGCGTTATTACGGTTTGATATCAGTCCGAAACGTGAATTTTCGTCGGTTATTTGATTGGTTCCACCAGGTGTTAGCATCGAATGCGGTCGGACTTAGAGCGAAACGAAGTGTAGAATAATCAATACCTGTGGAAACCCTTCTCTACTTCCATGCAACGTCATTGCACCCGGATGGCGCCGACTTCGCAATTGGGCCCGAGCCTGACGTCAAGTGTCCTTCGACGCGTTGATTGGATACGAAGCACATCCGAACGCTGGCGCAATGCTCGTATCTAATCAGAGTCTTCGCTTGATCTCAAAATCCCTTTGCAAAGGTTTCCCGATTTCTTCAAGTGTTGTTGGCTTGGTCAGAAAAATTGCTGCTCTCTCCAGTCGCAGTTTTCGGCCGCCGCCACGAGAACCTCCCACGAGATTGTACACATTTATATAAGCAGACAGCCTAAGAAATTGAGGGCATGGCTTCTTATATTACCGCTTTACGCTACGGGATGCCCGAAACCATCGCCCAGCTTTGGCTTTTTTTTTTCTTTTTCTTTTTTTTTTGTCACGCGTCAGAGGGTTTATTACGTTCCGCAATATGCTTTGCATTGATGTCATATTGGGGTCCATTGCGGTAACCTTCCTGCTGACCACGTACATTGCAGCATACACTTTACGCCAACGAATTTGTTGACTTCGGCAAGAACAAGAAGGAATTACCATTAGTATGGTGCAGTGACGTCACGTGCAAGCCACGCATAAATTACGTGAGCACTGTACGCTGGGATGGGCAGTATTTCAAATACTTTGTGTATTTTGCATTTGTATTTAATTACAAAATGGGTAATGTATTTAACATGTGTATTTAAATACTAAAACGTGGGTATACTTTAAATACAATTGTAATTAAATACAATTTTGTGGGCGAAAATACATCCCTCACATTTATTGTCAGGACAATTCTTGTTTTTATGCATGTGGTCGTAAGATATAGTCTCCATCCTTTATTCGGCCATGGGGCTTGTTTCTTTTTCTCCTCCGGCTTTATTTTAAAGGCACTGTCCAGAGCAGGAAGAAAACTACGTTATGCACCGAATGCAGTGTTTCTCAATCAAGCACAAGCGTTTAGTGACATTGTGATTGCGGTGCTAGTCCAGGGCAAGAATAGTGACGAAATCAACGTTCACAGGCAGACTGGCTAAATAAGTGCCTGTGACAACTTGTGATGCTTTCCAGCCTGATTTCCATCCATATTTTGCCTGGAACATTCTAAATGCGCGGGTCGTCTAGATTTTCGTAACGGGTGTGAGTTGCCACAATAAAAAATTCTCTAGCTAGTGCTGCGCGTCTTGATCGGCTCGGTTCCTTGTTGGTCTATACCAAAATGTAATCGACAAAAAAAAAAAAAGCTGCTTGAGGCTCTGTGCTTTTTTAACCTATTACGTCCAAGCTGATCACATTTCTATTGTGATTATATTTCTATTACGTTACTAGAGCCTCGCACACTAACTCCCGAGTGTGCGATGCAAAATTAAAATGGGATACCCAGAAACCCGTTGCAGGTGCCCTGAGATTGCTGACGCAAATTTAGAGGAATGTATTTGGAAATGTATTTGGAGGAGACCAAATACATTTGGTTGTATTTGAATCTTGTATTTAAATGCTTTTTTGGAAATGTAATTAGATTTGTAATTAAATACACTTTGACGAAGTATTTTATATTTGTATTTCGATACATACTTCTATGTATTTTGCCCATCCCTGACTGTACGTTACACGACGCAGCGCGAACACGACATCGACGCTTTCCGCTATTTACTGATACAGGGTATCGACGTGCGCCAATGTTTTATCCCTTAGGTTGAAGCTCCACATAAGCACTCTAAACAAGATGACAAGTTTTGACAAAAGCGATTCAATTGTTGGCGAGAAATATTAAAATCGGGAGTCGCACCTTGTTGCTCGCAGGCTGTGTACTCATGAAACTCTATCTTATAAGCTATAGAGTGCCCTCCGAGTGGCAAATATGGAGCTTCTTCGCGCAAAAATGTTTATTAGAAGAAAAGAATGTCTGTAATTAGCTTGAACAATTATTGCATTTCTAGGTGTGCTTGAGTGGAATCAATGCCTGAATGAAAGTGCCTTCCAATCCTGCTTGGAGCTTCTGCCTCAAGACCCATGCAGGTAACGGCAACTAAAATAGGAGGGATTGAAGGTGGCGGCTCTACGGTGGGCGGTTTTAATACGTATTAGTAAGTTCAGTGGTAATAGCTAAAAACTGCGTATGCATGGACCTCTTGTACAGAGTGATTAAAATTGGTTTAATGAGAATATTCGAGCAAAATAAAGAATCAACTTATATGATAGAGAAAGAGGTAGAGAAAATAAATTTTGTATTGTGCTGAACCAGTCGGTTTAATGTTAACGAATATATATATATATATATATATATATATATATATATATAAAACTGAGAAGAAATATATATATATATATATATATATATATATATATATATATTAAATGTTTTTCATAGATGATAAAATGATTCAGCGGAAGTGCAGCAGTGCCTTTCTTTGGTTAAACAAGCTTTTCAATATTAGGTCAATATAAAATAAGAAACGAGTGAGTAAAGTATTTCAGAATAATTTTTTTAAAGCCAGTAGAATTTCGCTTTAAGACTCCGGTAGTCTTGACCTTGACAGGTTATGTTTGCCGTATATTAAAAAGTACTTCTTGCCTGCACAAAAAAAAAATAATTACCAGTGACCTTTATCGCTGAAGGTTTACAATGCATGGACTGCTTTATTTAAGGGACAATTTCTTTTAATTTGCTAAGACACCAAGAAGAAATTTCGGAAAGTCGTATAGTTTCTTATTAATGTATTAACTGAATATAGCGTAAAAGTTGACGTAACCTGACTTAATGTCACGTGATGTCAGATCGCGTGACATCAATTTTGCCTCTAGATTTAACGGAGAAATTGTCATCAGCTGACCTCGGGTCACGTGATCTCAGGTCACACAAAGTCGCGGAGTCAGGTCGTGATGCCCAGTGACATCAAAATGTTTTGTGACGTCACTTTTCTTGCTAAATATAGCGGGAAAATGCGCAAACTAATGAACAAACGGACGGATGAACAAGTGTTTGGGGTAGGGGATTACGTTAAAAAGCTGTGCATGCTTTAATACAAAATAAATTTTCAGTGCAGAGAAAGACAAAATGATTAAAAGTTTACTTAGGAATCACATTCTTAACCGCTTTTAATAGAGACGGGTAAGTTTTAATAGAGGCGGGTAAGTTGTAAGTTTTAACTTACTTCACCAAAATATGAAATACTCTTTGAGGCAAATGTGAGAGCATCATATCTCGGATGAAATATTCACGATGTTTAAAGTGGTTAGGTTCATAAATCTGTGGGAGGTTCCCCTCCGTAATTGTCCGCTCCAATTCTCTTCTCATTTCTCGCAGTACTGGCAATTATAATTGCTTCCTGAATGCGACAACAAGGTGTACTCGAGACAGTCCTGCGATGAAAGCCGTGCACCACGCGATCAACATTCATCTTGACTTGAAGAATTGCAGCAGAATCGACGGCAACGACGGGAACGGCGGCATCACCACGAGTCCGAAGATTGTGCTGACATTGGCTGCCTTATGCATTTCGCTCTTTCCTTTAAGAAAATAAATGCTCCAGACGGATTGCCTCCGGCCTACTTTGTCCCTACAAATATTTCTTGTGCGATCGAAATATGTCATAATTATCTGCAGGCTCCAATCGACCAAAGTCCCCCTCTTTTTTTTTTTTTTTTTTTTTTTGGGGGGGGGGGGGGGAGGTGGGGCTGTAAAAATAAACTGCGAACTGCAGAAATATGAAAGTCTGTGAGAACGTGGCACTATTGCCGTGATGACAAAATACGAAAATTTGAGAACGTGACGTTGCCTGGACCGAAGGATACGGGAGGAAAACAAAATTTCTCGATGAGCCGAGGCTCACCTAAGCCTAATATTCATCACAGCAAGAAATGATATTGTGGGCGACTGCAGCATTTGTTTTCCTGAAAAAGCTTGTCAAACAGAAAGGAAACAATATCCTCTTTCTCGCTGTTATATATCTTTTTTTTTTTTTTTGCATTTAACGTTACAGGCGAACATATTGTCATATTTTGGCATGTTGAATGAAAGTCTAAGGTGGATGTCGGCTCGTTCAGAAAATGTAGATTTTCTCCTGTATATCTTGATCAACGGGTAACATCATGTTCTTAAACTCACATTTTATCACATTCACCTACTGAAACACCCTCACGGAGTTTCAGCTTACTGCGATCAGTAATAGATTTTTGCTGGAAACAAAAAACAAGAAAAACGCGTTTCGATTTCCCGATCGGGCCCTGTATTGTGACTGACGACTTGAGAAACGACTTAAGAAATAAAGGGCGGGGCCTATTAGGGTCATGTTTCTCGCTTTGTAATTGGGTCTTTCACGTTATGATCAGCTGTGGTCCCAATCCGATTGGCTGAAAAGCGATGACCAGGATGAAAAAATCGAAACTCGTCACGTCCTAGGTTTTTTAGTTTGTCGGTGCATACAGTAAAAGCACTTCAATGATGAAGGTTGCCTGGTAAGAGTTCGGCTAATTATGAACTATAGGCATACTGTAGGGCAATAGAAACAAAAGACAGGTAAACAAAGAAATGGTGTTTTAGGAAGTAAGTAATTGATTGATAAAAAAATCTTTTCAAAATTGGCCTGCAAGGACTGCCTCATCGACTTGGGTTAGTTGAGAAAACATTTCAGGGAGATACTCTTGGCGAGTAGTGGCTTCGCAAAGCGGAAAAGATATATTTACCTGTCATGAATATTGAGAAGTCTTAATTCTTCGCAGATATTGGTGAACGGGAACAGGAGATACTTAAAAAGAGGACCTCATTTTTAAACAGATTATATGTACAGTACAAAGAAAAACATTTAGAGCGCCATGAAAGAGGAAATTCATTGCACGAGGCATTGAAAATGTATCATAAACATTTGTACCAAACATAGTTACATGAACGTCTCTTTATATGTGTGCAAATCTTTTTTTTTTTAACTTTGTTAGATTTTTATTGTAGAAGACAGGGGTTCTATCTGGAGAAAAAGGGACCCCTTTCCAAAAATACGTCAACTACCGACCAATCTTTTTCACAAATCTCCGTCTTAAACATGGCTTCCGCCCAGCTAGCGCAGCATCTCTACTAGCACTGAGCCTACGTCGGACAGTACCGAGAACTGACCGGCGGAGCCAGGCCGCCACTGGCCATGCTCCGCCGTCAACTTCCCGGTATTGTCCGATATGGATCTTTTTTGCAAGGGCGCCGCCATCTTGAATTGTCGTCACTTCCAGTATGGCCGAAAACATTGCAATGCCGTCGCCACGCCAATAGGAGGCATTTAAGACAAAACGTAACCGTCACACATTCTCGTTTTGCCTCACATCTATTTTTTTTACTATTTGCAGGTTGAAACCTTCTGATATTTTTTCGTCGCCCATACCGGATATGCCTACTTGGCGGTCGGGGACGAGAGTAAGCGGAAAAGGTGTATGGGCCGAGCGCTAACTGGCCGACATGCTGCAGTAGCTAGGCGTTTCGAAAATGAAACTAAGCTAAACTTGTCTAAATTATGCCCCGTGGGGGAGTTTTCTAAGAAAATATATCCAAAGGAATACGTGAGAGGTAGTTAAAACACCGCCGTACTACCGTAGTGTCGTCAAATATGCATATAACTTATGAAAATTCATTTTTACCGCAGAAAAAACACAATTCAAAGGAATTGGGGATTGTAAACGAAATTCAGAAGGTGCCAAAGGGACGGAGAAAGAGCAGACGATTTTTATGCGCGCTCAAATGTTTTGTAGCGCTGAAGCACGCTCAGCGAGGACGCTGAACGACGTCGCTTCCGCGCCTTCTGTATATCGTTTACAATCCCCAATACCCTTGAATTGTGTTTTTCTGCGGTAAAAATGGATTTTTACAAATAATCTGAACTGTTCAAACCATTTGATCACCGTTGTATTTACGGTCCGTAAACATTTGAGACGACTTTTGGCGCGCGTCTTTTCGGTTCAGATTTTGACAGCTCGTCTTGCTCCGCCACTTTGCTAACCGAGAAAAATAATCAAATGACCCTAAAATCAAGACCATGCCGAGTACCTGCGCCGATATTGGTTGTGCCAACAGGGGTAGCGAGGACTTGGAGATCTCGTATCATAGGTACGTTTCTTAGTTCTTGAAGTCAACCTGGTCACACCGTTCGTTTTGCTGGCCATGCAAACACGTTGAGACTGTTTGACGTGGCGTGCATTTCTCTTCCGTCCCCTCGCGCGCTAGAAGATCCGTGGCTCGTCTTCCCGTGCACATATATAGTGCTCAACAAGAAAAGCAGCATGTAAGCTGATCCCACTGCCAAAACTTCACTTAGATTCATGCCTCCCGCAGGAGGAAATGTGATTCCCTACAAAAGTACGGCATTCTTATTGCTAGTTTCCGAGAGCAGGGCGATTTGAATAAATAAGCACGTACCTTAACCTATTGTTCCTCAGAGTGACTCAAAAAGGTGGTCAGTCTGCAAGGTACCAGATTCTTTATACATAATGACAAATACACAGCGCAAAAGGACAAAAAGGGAAGCGACACACCGGATAGAACAGAGAGCTGACTCGCAACTAGATATTTTAATAGAAGAAAAAGAGAAAGAAGAATATTTTGGTCACATTTCTGATTTCCTTTCTCTACATCAAATTAAAAAAAAAAAAAACATAACTCGCACGTGTAACCTTTGCCATGATATGTGGTCGCTATGGCACGCGCTGGGCCTTCATAGTCAGTTTCATGAACTTTAACTCTTTGTTAGGCAACGAGACAGATGGTGTGCTGATGCAACTTCCTCCTCCACTGTGGATGTAAAAAGCCTCCAGAACCTCTCGGGTTGTTTGGTCCCGGTGTCTTCCCATAACTGCGGTGGCATCAAAAGACGGTTCACATAGGCATTCTTTACAGTGAAGTGAAAAACTCCCACCCACCGTGACTCTGAGGGAGTAGTCGTGCTCACGGAGCCTGTCATTTAGACAGCGTCCTGTTTGTCCAATGTAGGAGCGGCCGCAGGATAGTGGTATGTTGTAAACAACACCCGTGGCACCAGGCACAAACGGCTTGGCGTGCCTTTTGGAACATCTGTTTTTTAGACTTCCCTCTACCTTGGCGTTGACTCTTAGACAAATCTGACTCATCTTTTGGGGAGCTGAAAAGACCACAGGAACTCCATAGCGGTTTCCAACATTTTTTTAGTTTATGGGAAATCTTGTGCACATACGGGATGACAACTGGTCTCTTTCTTTCCACACTACGTTTTGTATTCTGGATCCCTTTTACTTTCCTAATTATGGTGCTCGCAATACCTGACAGTAGGGCGGATGGATAGCCGGCTTTTTGCAGTCTCGCTGTTTGCAATTTGAAGTTCTCTCCTATAGTGTGGAGGCAAGATTTGTTCAATGCTGACTGTAGACTAGACAGAGCAATGCCCTTTTTTATGATTTTTGAATGGGCCGAATTGTAGTCCAGAATGTCCTTCTTCGACCTTGGCTTATAAGTCCAGCATACATGGTCGTCTTCTAGGCACAGTGAAATGTCAAGGTACTGAAGCACATTTTCTCTTGGGATCTCGAATGTTAAGCTCAGGCCTCCCCCACACGTTTTAAAGACACTCATCACTTGTTCCGTTACCGTGTCCAGTAGTACTCCTTTTTTAAGAATCACTAGAAAGTCGTCTACGTAGCGGAACACCTTACTAACAAAAGTGTCGCCTAACTCACTCGCGATAGCACAGTCCACTTCACCCAGATAAATGTCACCTTAAAACGGGGGCAACACATGACCCAGTACACACCCCCGACTTTTGCCTGTAGCTATTCCCCTTCCACGTAATTATCATGGATTGCAGGTAGAATTGCAACATTTCCATAAAGCTTGACAACATTTCCATGACCCCAAGCAGTGTAATAAATGCACTGCTTGGGGTCATGTCTGATGAAGTCAACCGATAGCCGCCGTGTCTCGTGGTGCTGTAGCTCCACTTGGAGGCGCATGTTGTCAGCTTCCAAAATGAAGATCCGCTGCTGCATCTGTGCAATCTTGAGTCTGCACCCGTCATGCGTCCCAGACATCACGGACTGACCAAGATTGTCCTCGTGCTCGATCTCTGTAAAATAGAAATATGCATAAATGAATTCATAATTATACAGTTTTTGTCTCTATTTCTTATGCTGAATAATTATATATGTGCTATTCCTGTAGATTTCTGAAATAAGCCCCTTGCACTCAAGCACAGAGGAATTTTGGCTCCAATTACTGGCCATTTTCTGCTTGCCAGCAATATTATATTATACTCATCCAAATGTCGAAACGATAAATGCATGTAGATAAATAAAATAGTGAAGTCATAGATTAAATAGAACTTGCGTACCATTTTGCTCAGCTTTACTCTAACTGCTTATGATGAAAGTTCTGGAAAGGTTGTCTATCTTGCGTAACAGCCCATTTGTATGCTGTTTAGACACCATAAAGCAGGTTCCTTCGTTCAAAACTACAAACCATGCAGGTATGTATATTAGCAGTTATGCTGAATGATTTAGCGACATGAACTGTGACAGCTGCCTGCTGCACAAGTAACAGCAAGCAT